AGGTTGTTTTCTTCTACACGCTAGTTGTGAGAAGCATTCATGCTTACTTGAGCTTTAGAAGTAGCAAGCGTTGATCCTTCCACGGACACAGTTGAACCTGCAGTCTTCTTCCTCAACATCACATGTCTCCGACTCCCTTCTCTCCTTACCTCCACAAAAACTTTACCAATTAGAGGCAAGGGATTTCTTCCAATTATTCGGTCACGGATCTCATCATATTCAACGTTTAGACCTGCAATAAATTTGAATCTTCGGCCAGTATCCACTATCTTCTTGTATTGGTTGCAGTCATCGTTTGATTTTCACTCATGATCATTGAATAAATCCAGGTCCTACCAAATCTGCTTAAGAGAATTGAAATATTTTGTCACAAAATCCTCACCTTAGCAAATTTTTTCAAGTCATAGAGTCAACTCATAAACTTGGGATTGATTTTCAATATCAGAGTACATTTTTGAAACATTGTCCCATAATTCATTGATTGTAGAGTAACACAGATAATTTGCACGTATCTCTTCAGTCATGGAATTGACCATGTCATTACTATTGAGTTTTTTGCATCCCAAATGGCATAAGTTATATTATTCACGTCAGACTGCTTAGTATCACCTGTGATGTAGTCAATCTTTCCTCTTCGTCGGAGATAAATACGAACAAATTGTGACTATCGAAGAAAATTATCACAATTTAAACGAATTGTAGTGATCTAAATAGGATGGTTTTCAGATGTATTTCTTTGAGGTTCAGATTGAGATGACTGAAGAGACTAACTTGTCCTAGATGTGACTTCAGACATTTTAGAGATGAAGAATGGAGAGTGCAGCAGAATCCCGAGATTCGCCCGCCGAAGCAAAAGATTACCACCTTAGCCGCCGAAAGGACCACGCGCGCGATCCTTGCCAGCGAGACGTGATCCTCTCGTTGCCTTCCAAGCGAGCTCTGATCACAGTTGCTTCGCGACGATGAAGAAGAAGAAGGAAAAGGCCGAGTTACGGGTCTCTGCGCCGATCACGGTCCCGACTGCTAGTTATATCGATCGCCGCCGCAAGCTCTAGGGTTTAGCGATCTTGCTCGGTGGAAGATGCCCCTGCGAATCAGACTCTCTGATACCATGAAGAAATATAAGAGGGTCTATTCTTATTGATGCAAAGAGGGGTATAAATACTCATTACAGGATTTATTGGTAAGGAAAGCAATAAAAGCAGGATACAGTAGACAATGAAAGGAATAATAACAAATATAAGAGACAGCTAATCTCCCTAATTAAAGAGAAAATAAATAGTGATTTCTACGATTTATAACCCTCTAAATATAGAGTATAACAAATATGGAATATGATCCTAATATTTTCGAGATTTTTCAACAATTTTTTACCTGAACCATCAACTTGAACAATAGTACCTAAAGTCCGTGCATTTTTAAATAATTTGAGGTATAAATAGCTTCTTAGTGTGTTATATCATTCAAAGAAAAAACGCACTTCCACCTCATGCAGCCCTAGAAAATGTTGATCTACCGGGATTTAAAAAAAAGTTTCCCTACGAAAAAGTTCAGATGTGTTTAAGCAAGTTTGAATGAAATAAAAGCTCAAATTAGCCTTTTCTAAATGATGAAAAGTTTTTGGAATGAATCTTTAACTTCCAACATGTGAATATTTACATATTTGAGAGAAAGGTACTTTACATAGGCAAGGTGGATGGCGGACGAAAAAGGCACTTTGTCTGTAAAATCCATGTCGGGAAGAGAAGCCCCTAGCTAAGAGTTGTTTTGGCTTTGATCGATAGAAGGACCAAGCATCAAAATGTCTCGCCTTCAACATTATAACTAGACCAAAACCTTAGGGTAACGGTTGGAGGGATGGAGCATTTGGGTTTCAAGATAAATATTAATGGAGATTAGATGTGGGTTGTTAGATAGCTTTGAAATTGACGCTGGAGATTATTGAATTTGGATCAATATGGAAATCATAGATTAGTGTTGACTCCAATGATCACCAAGACTCTTACAGTAAATTGACGATGTAGTATCAAAAAAGGCATGGTTTTATTCTATCATTGTTGCATGGAGATCATTGAAGCACAAATCAAGATGCTCTTGATTCAATGATCAGGATTAATTTGCAAAAAAAAGGATAAATCAATTGCCCCTATTTGTGAGATTTTAACAAGACACTATTTGCATACTAGCGATGATTCTAGTGTATAAGAAGATTACAAAGACACTAATTACATACTAGCGATGATTCAAGTATGTAAGTAGGTTGTAAGATATCTATGAAATTGATGTTAGGGATTATATGATTTGGATGGTTAGACCCAGAAAGAAATCGTAGATTAGTAATGACTATCATGATCACCAAACTCTTACAGTAAATTGACAACGTAGATTCAAAAGAGGCATTGTTTTATTCTATCGTCATTATATGGAGATCACTGAAGTACAAATCTAAATTTTCTTGATCCAATGATCAAGATTAATTTGAAAAAAATAATATTTTATGATAAATCAATTCCCCCAATTTGTGAGCTTTAAACAAGTCACTACTTGCACTCTAAAGATGATTCTACTTTGGTACTCCACAACAAAACAAAGATGTTCCATCATTGCCCGTGAAACTATTAGCCGTTACACCTCAACCACAAATATAAATTTGCAAAAGCATGTATTCAACCTTCTATCATTCCTTTGAAGGAAAGCACTACCCAACCCCACCAACATGTGTTTTCCATTCATCTTTTAGGCTAACAGCTCATTTTTGTTTTCCTTGCATACTTGCGATGATTCTAGTTTATAAGTAGATCGAAATACACTGCTTACATACTAGCGATGATTCTAGTATGCAAGTAGGTTGTAAGATATCACTGAAATTGATTTTAAGGATTATGTGATTTGGATGGTTGGATTCAGATAGAAATTATAGATTAGTGATGGCCCTAATGATCATCAAACTCTTTAACTAAACTGACAGTGTAAATTCAAAAGAGACATTGCTTTACTCTATGGTCATCACATGGAGATCCCTGAAGTAAAAATCTAGATGCTATTGATCCAATGATCAAGATTAATTTGAAAACAATAATTTTTTTAGGATAAATCAATTCCCTCGTTTGTGAGCTTTAAACAGGAAAATACTTACATACTAGAGATGATTCCACTTCGCTATTCCACAACAACAAAGATATTCCTTCATAGCCCGTGATACTATTAGCCATTACACCTCAAACCACAAATATAAATTTGCAAAAGTATGTATTCAGCCTTCTATCATTCTTTTGAAGGAAAGCTCCACCAAACCCCACCAACATGTGTTTTCCTTCCTTCTTTCAAGCCAACAGCTCTTTTTTTTTCAATGGGATCCCTCTACATATATCTCTTCATCTCATAGCTGCATCTCTCTAACATACTTATCCCCTATCCATCTATCCTTGCTTCCCTTTTGTTTCCAACAATCATTATATTTGTATCTTTTGTCTTTACCCAAAAAGAAGGGTAGCAACTTGTTATCCCTATACCTTTTTGTACATTTAACATTTTTTCAATCAAGAAAGTTTCGTTATTCTAGATACATTAGAAAATGTGCATGTGTCAAAATCAATCTTCTCCTATAGATATGATGGAGTGTGCATGGATATAAGCTTTCAAGCTTGCCGAGAGCCATGATTTCTTCCTAAAATAGATCAAAGGATCAAGTTCCATCCAAGTGGTTCACAAGTCACTTCACAGGTTAGTTTGTATTCTTTTTAACATGCATATATGAGTATAATTTAATTCAAATGAAATATCAACTTATTTTTTATTTTATCATTATTCTATAAATTGAATAATTATTTTACAAATTATTCTTAACTAAAGAAAGGCATGTTTGCTACAATAGACATAGCTTGAATACATAAGTGCTATACTAATCATATAGAAAGTAAAAAACAGTAAAATAAATATTTTTTTATTGTATAAATCACCAATGAATGCATGTGCCCAACTTTCTTGAGATTAGCTAAAACTGATGCCCACATCATATCATGTCTCTATTAAGGCCCAATATTCCTAGATATTCAATGTCTAAGACCTCAGAAACATGAAGAGAATAATAAATCTCCTTCTCTAACCTATGTTTCCAAGATAGTAGTATCAAAAGAGATTCTCCCTCCAACAACTTCCAAAAAATACTCTTGATTAATGATGTGATATGCATAATTCAATTTTATTGTGAAAAGAATATTTGAACAAATTAAGAAAACAATTATTAGCCGTTCTATTTCATTCTAGAATAGGGGGCCTTGATTATATGTCAATTGTATGTTCTCACAAAATGCATGCATGTCTCCCATGGCAATCTCCCATGGCAATATATATATATATATATGATCATAAAAACCAGGTATATATAATTCAATTTTCTTATGAAGCATTTCACTAAATTAAGAAAACATTTATTAGCCATTTTCTTTCATTCTAGAATAAAGGCCTTGATTATATGTAAATTGCATGCTGTCCCAAACTGCAAGTTTCCCATGGAGACATATAAATGGTCATAAAAATCAGCTAAGGTACGACAAAGGTGATTTGACCTTATTAGCATTTAATTAAAACAAAGGCAACACATAGATGTTCTCCGATATGAGCATTGTATGATCCTCCAAGCATAGAAAAAAAAATTAGATTACTCAAAAATTAACAGAGAGCAATCATATCCAAAGAGGGAAAAAAGTTAGAAATTAGATGAATGTGAAACAAACGCATAATGGTTTTCAAAATACTCGAGAAAGTATTCAGAAGCAAATGTGAAAATAGTCAAATATGAAATTAATGTATATTGGTTTTGAAAACCACTCGAGAAAGTAATCATTGCTATACATACTGCAGAAATGAACCAAAATATTATATCGCAACAATAGAATTAGATATCTGAGCGGCTTTGGATATTACATAAAAAAGTTGATTTCAATTTGGTTAAGGTAACATAGAATATGAATTTAAATGCAAAAATTGTGCTTTCTAACCAAATTTGCAAAGAAATCACTATCAGTGCCAATAAGCTTTGAAGACATGCTGGTTTTGGCACAGTTAATAAGAGAGTCTTTTCCAAGCTTTTCAACCTGAGGAGAAATATTTAAGTCCATGACAAATCAATATTGAGCAAAAAGAAACATAAATGTTAACAATGTAACCATTATAGAACATACCTTGACAGCAAGTTTTTCATCAACATACTTGCATGCTTCCCTCATTGCTAGCTGATCAGCACAATAGACAAAAAGAATGTCATGCACATCACAAGTCTATTTTATTCACATTTGGAAGCCAAAGGGCACAAAAAAGAGTATCCAAAGAGAAAATTTGATCAATCGCCATATCCATCAATAAAAAGCAGTTTAAAATCTTACTCTGTATCCACTTATTATTGACGTTGGATGAATCTTATTCCTAACAAGATCATTTGCTCTCTGCAACAAAAAAGTACCAATTTTGCCAAATGTTAAAAATATAAAAGACAATTTGCAAGGAGCATAAAATTAACAAAACTTCAACAAATTCACCTTAAGCAACTCCGCAGCTACAATAACAACGGAAGTTGTCCCATCTCCAACTTCACGATCCTGAAGCTCGGCTAATTCTACAAGAACCTAAACTTTTCAAAAGTTACAAAAACAAATTTTAATGTATATTTAAATATTTAATCAGAATAGATTACACACATATACAAAAAAACTGCAAGAAATTATCTAACGATTGATTACCTTGGCAGCTGGATGCTCCACTTCTAGCATCTTGAGAATTGTAGCCCCATCATTAGTAATAGTCACATCACCAATGTCATCAACTAGCATCTATGAGGTTCATCAGTTAATAAAAAGTTACGTTCCAAGAGACAATCCTTATTCTACCAAATTAATTTGCAATGCTTTCAACAAATATACTCAGAAAACTAGTTTATAAACACGGCCAATGAAAAAAAAGAACTTAATAACATGTTGCATGTTACATTACAGATCAACCAAGTTTGTCTGGTAAAAGAAAAAGAAACCAAAGTAGGGTTGCAGATGAACCAATCCATTTGATGAAATTATCAAACTCGATGTTATTAATACTCAATCATGTTTGTTCATATTAGTAAATGAACGAGTTTTAACATTTTTTTAAAAAAATGTATGTTAAATGAATCAAATTTGAACACAGTCTAACTCGTTCTTTAATGTTCACGAAGAAATTTATTTATTTTTCAACATATAATTTGTTACATGCTCTATACTTATAAAATATATCATGTAAATAAAAAATTGATTAATTAGAACTTGATTGATTATATATTCAGCATTAAATTGCATGTAAATTTAATATAATTTTTTCTTCCTTTTTTTATTTAAATGAACTAGTTTGTAAAAATTTATTTACGTTATTTTATTGTAAGAAAATTTATCTGAAATTTATATATTATTTTATTTATTTGATATAAACTACTTAATTTGAAATTCATTCAATTGCTTATTGATTTAGATTTATAAAATTAATTGTCAATAAATTTATATAAAAAATCAAACACTCATATAATTTTTTAACATGTTTATTAACTTTATATGAAAAATCAAATACAGATCAACTTTTTCATTTTATATGAAACTTTAAATACTCATTCAAAGTTTTAGATTATTCAATTAATACAAGCAAGCCAAGTACAAATGAAGTATGATCATAAATAATTTATGCACGCTTTAAATTTTTGTTGAGGATAACCTTATTGTGGATAAGACGAGAGAAAAAGCCCAGGAAATACTTGAATTATGGAGATCCACATTGGAATCTAAAGGTCTTCATTTGAGTAGAACTAAAACTGAATACATGGAATGTAATTTTAGCAATAGTAGCTCTACTGACATAAGTGTAACTTTGGGTGATCAAATTATTAAAAGATGTGAACGATTTAAATATCTCGGGTCTGTTGTTCAAAGTGATGGTGATATAGATGAGGATGTTAATAGTAGAATTCAAGTTGGTTGGTTGAAGTGGAGGAATGCTTTGGGCCTTTTGTGTGATAGAAAAGCACCGCTTAGACTGAAAGAAAAATTTTATAAGATGGTGGTGAGGCCGGCCTACAATACTCTATGGCGCTGAAAGTTGGCCTTTAAAAGAGAAGCATAATACTAAGTTGAGTGTTACCGAGATGAGAATGATTAGGTGGGTGAGTGGCTTTGCACTTAGAGACAAATGAGAAATGAATATATTTGTGATAGGGTTGGTGTTGCTCCAGTGACGGAAGAAATTAGAGAGAGTCTTCTTAGATGGTTTAGTCACATTAAGCGTCGAACATTTGATGATCCGATTAAGAGAGTGGATGTTTTAGATTCGACTTATGTTAAGAAAGGCAGAGGTAGACCTAAGAAGACGTGGGCCTATTATATAAAAAAGGATATTAATTTATTAGAACTAAATGAAAATATGACACTTAATAGGATGCAATGGAGAAAAAGGATTCATGTAGCCGACCCTACGTAGTGAGATTAAGGGTTTGTTGTTGTTGTATGCCAACTATGAATATTTATTTGAAGGCTTGGCTCAAGCTCACTGAACATGAACAACTTCTAATTCAACCAAGACAAATCCAATCCATGACATACTCGACTCGATTCGGCTCGATTATAGCCTTAAATCAAAGTAAGCCATACGACCAACGTAGTCAAGTCACTAATGTCATCAACTAGCATCTACGAGTTTCACATCATTAATAACAAGTCGGGACAGATATAAAGCTCATGTTACCAGATAAATTTGCAATGTTTTAAATAAAAATTGTCAAGAAAGCATATTTTTGCACAACTTTAAACTAATATTAATGATAATGATGATGATGATGATAACTTATGATGAGTTACAGGGTTACATGGTAGATCAATCAAGTTTGTCAGGTAAGAAAAAGAAACCAAAGCTATACACCAACAATAAATTGAATAAGTAAAAATGCACCCAATGAAAGGCGCTCACTAAGATGAGAAAAAACTTTAAACTGTTATGGTAAAGTTCAACGTTCTGCTTAAAAGAAGAATATAATGCACTCAAAACACAAGTTAGCACCTGAAAAAAAATGCTTTGCAGATGACAGAAACATGTAACTTACTACAGAAAACCCATCAACGTTTATGGAATGAGTATTTCACCAAAATCAAGACAAATGAACAAAACCCAAAATAAAACAAAGCAAGCGACGACTGACTAGTGACCAATAGAAGGAAGCTTAAGCTTCTCCAAAACGAATATCAAAGAAGAAACTGAATCACATATCCAAATCCTACCTTGTCGAGCCCAACAGGACCGAGTGACGACTTGACAATGTTGGCAACCGCTTGGCACGCGACCACTTGTTCAGCGATAGAAACAAATAGCAGAAAACGTAATCAGGTAAGAGAAGAAAAAGCAAGATACGTCTAAGCATAAATCATGCCATTCTGTGATATAAATGAAGGATTAAGAGTTCAGAGAATAATACCGTTTTGAGTTCGAACATCTTGACCCGACTGGCGCTCACCGAGAATGTCCGGCGTCTGAGCTATGATCGCCATTAGTGGCGGTGAGATCAGGCAATGGCCTTGCCGTTAAGGAAACCCTAGTAGGTGATGACCCTTTATATGGGAGATTGAAATGGGAGATAGGAAAGGTTAATATGAAATGAATGTGTACGAAGCCTCTAGGTTAACCGAGGTATCTGGCCGGGTTGCTGTGGCCGGTTCTTCGTCTGGACCAATCGGAACCCTAAGCTGATTTGCTGGAATATTATACACTTGGACGCATTTTTTAAAATATATAAACAAATGTTTAATGAAAGAAAGAACATAGTATGTAAAAATTTGTGCAACTTAAGGTGCATTTGAAGCGGCCCATGTTTAAATTGGGGAAAAAAATTGCGTACATAAGACGTACGCAGAGTTGTGTGCGTCTGTAACTTGCAAACAGGTTACAGGGAAGATTTCAGGAGGTTATAACCGCGTTATACCTCATGTAATCTCTCTGTAACCTACCTGTATATCAAAACATAAGCGTAAAACTTACTAGAAGGTACAGGTAGGTTACAGGGGGTATAACGCGATTATAACCTCCTAAAATCCTTCATGTAACTTATTTGCAGGTTACAAACGTACGCAACTCTGCGTACGTCTTATGTACGCAAATTTTTTCCTTATCTTAGAGAGCAGCTTCTCCAAAGCAGTCAAAAAGTTGTTGATAGAAAGGCAAGAGTCTCCTTGAGAAATTTACTGTGATGTGTTTGTTTATGATGAATAATATTATTTTGTCTTTTTATAAGTACAATTAATTACAGCTTTCAGAATAATTATAACAGAATAACAGAAAAAGATCTTGCTACATAAAAAACTGAAGTGTATTGCAAATCTCCCTGAATGATGTTTTAAGAGTCCAGGTGAAGTAGTAGAATGTTTGATTGTTCACCGGCAGTTGGAGTGTTCTTGTTGTTTTTCTGCTGTAGTCGTTATTTTTGTTGTTCGGGAGTTCAATGCGAATCTTCCTAAAGTTGAAGATGATGGAGTCATGGCGAGGAAGACAAGTACCTTTCTTCCTGGACGTAATAAATCTGTTCTATCAATTGCACCCTTGTACATTATATTTTTATTCAAACAATAGTCTGACTTAGGAGGATTTGGACGAGATTATATCATGGTTGACTGGAGGAAGAGGATTGTGGAATATTACTAATAAAAGAAGAGTCAACTTCCCCACGTCAAAGTTGGATACCACATCGAAAGCGTGACACAACTTTATTTATGCTCGTCTGCTGCCAACAAACCACCTCAATGAAGTGACCCAAGATAGAGCTGTCTTAAACTATTGCATTCAGCAGTTCAAGCTCATTGATATTGGAGCTTTGATTTATGATATTATCACTAGTTTTGTTGTCGCGGTTACTACTGCAGGTTTGAAATTCGCATCCTTGATCTTTTCATTATGCGAGCAGGCGGGTGTAAGATTTGATAGTTGGGAAGAGATACTACATTCGCTCAAGTCCATTACAAGTGTTAATGTGAAATCTTATTCACATCATTCGATTTTTGGCTGAAGAGGTGGATTTTCTAACAGTTCAGGTGCCTCTGCATCTCGTGCTTCTACCTCACGTTCTTCGACATCGCAAGGTCAGACTTTTGGATATGATTCATAGTCACAATTATTGCAGAGGATATTGGACAACATTAACTATACTTCTGATAAGGTTTTGAATTTAGAAAATTTTGCAGATCATATAGATGGATATATGAGGAGAAATTCCACTCATTTATGGAAAACCTTCTGAGAGGTGACCAGAGTGTAGTTTTCCCTCCATATCCAAAATATCTATCAAATGAGCCTACAGTTGTTTGGCATAGTGACAATAGTGATGCTGATGAGGATGAGGATGATTAGACTGAGTTCTATAGTTTAGTTGTTTTGTTGTGAACTTTGTGTGGTACAGTTATATTGTATTGTTGTTTAGTTTTCAATTGTCCCTGTTGAGGTTATTAATTTTATTTGTGTTTTGTTTTGTTATACACTGTTGTGATGTATTTATGTTCTTGTGAATAATTATATTTTGTTTTTGTGGTAGTAATTGTGTTAATTGTGTTGTTTAGTGTATTTAGTTAGTTTGTGTTGAACTTAATCTTAAATCTTATAAAGGTTTAGAATATTACTAACTTTTAGTTAAGAACATCAAGTTTAAAATTTTCAATTTACTGTCAAATATTTTCTTTATGTTGTAGTTGTGAATGTCTGTTAGTGTGTTTGTTTGTTTTTATGTTATTCTTCGTTGCATAGAAGTCTAATGAATCTCTATATGTTAAGTAAAGTAAAATTTGTTAAATTAATTTTTACTCCTGTTTTTTTATTTTTGTACTTGTGTACTTAGGTTGTAAATATTTATGCAAGCATATTATTTTTAGTTTTCATTCATGTTTGTATATGCATATGATGCTAAAATGTTTTATTTTATTAAAAATTTAAGTTTGGGGGGATGAAAAATTTTCTAAAACTTGAAGTTTATTAGCTCTCAAATGTGCTACAAATAAAAACAAGAACGAATATTATCATGAGACTTAGTGATTCAAAAGAAATCAATCTGCTTATCAGTCACCCCAAGGGGGAGACAATTGGTTTGGAAACTTAAATTACCTTCTGGTCGCGAGCGACGGGGAAATCAAATAATAGGTCATCTAAGGATGACTCTCTCACTGTTAGTGACAAGATCTGTGTCGGGAGAAGAGGATAATCGGGGTTATATCCACTTAAAAAGTGACATGTTGTCCACATACATGGGGGAAATAAGAGTTAACCGACTGGAACACTTCAATTTAAATTGATTTCTCGAAATCCTTGGGCCTACCCCATAACAATTCTCTCTAAAGGGGTTCAATGTCCCAAGTAAAATAAAAAGCTTCACAAACCACAAGAAAATAAAATAACTGCAAGAAAAAAAAGTTTTTTCGTGAATGTAAAGAAAATATTCTAAGTCTTTTCACTCTTATTGGAATAATTAAGGTCAAACAAGCCACAAAGAACAAATAGTTGAATGATATAGTCCACCCCAAGTTCAAAGTACTCCACCTGACCATCACCATATTGCTCTCTGGAGACTAACGAAGTGACATTCTCTTTTAGCTGAGCATTTTCCTTCTCCAGAACCACTATAACACCAAAGGATTCTTTGTTGGACCTCATGGACTCATCGAACATTAGCTTTAGAAGGTCTTGATCATTGTGAGCTCTTCTTAGATCCAACTTAAGTGAAGCTTCCTTTTTCTAACTTTCCTCCATAAACTACTAAACTTGGGCACTCTATGTCATTATTAACCACCACAAGCCCACGTTCTAGAGAAGCTTTATGCAACTGAAGTGACATTCTCTTTTAGCTCAGCATTTTCCTTCTCCAGAACCACTATAACACCAAAGGATTCTTTGTTGGACCTCATGGACTCATCGAACATTAGCTTTAGAAGGTCTTGATCATTGTGAGCTCTTCTTAGATCCAACTTAAGTGAAGCTTCCTTTTTCTAACTTTCCTCCATAAACTACTCAACCTGGGCACTCTATGTCGTTATTAACCACCACAAGCCCACGTTCTGGAGAAGCTTTATGCAACTGAAGTCCCCCATAGCGCGACCAAGCCGTCTAGACCACAGCAGATTCAACAAAGTCAGAGGTAGTTCTTTGTTGACATTCGTCTGTTGGTACCAATCAAATGATCGACTCAGCTGACCAAATTGCTTGTTGGCATCCTCCCTTATTCGTCTGACACTCTCGGGAGTGAGATTGCACATGGACCCCTCTTTATTTTCATTGGAGGGGGTGGGGGGCTTCCTCCACTGCCTCCTTTCATCGCCAACGTACCCCCGATCCGTCAGACACTATCGGGCATGAGATTGCACACGAACCCTCTCTTTATATTCATTGGAGGGGGGGTGGGGGGTTTCCTCCACCACCTCCTTTCATATCCAACGTACCCCCGATCCCTCTCGTGAGGGCAGAGGCTTGCTCTCAGAAGATGAAGTCGGCTTCCCCGATGAAGAATTAGAAAAGAAGAGGGGACGACCTGACTTGCCATGTCCATATTAGATAGAGAAATGAAGGAAGAATCATTGGCACGAATATCTGACAGAACAACAACGGTCGGTGTCGTACTAGACACATGCCCACCATAGACGAAGAGGGAGCTACAGTCACCGCTCTGTCCTGGGTCCCTCTGGAAGTCTCCCTCGTTACCTCCCCCAATATTAACAGAGTGAGAATAATGTTTTAGAGGGAAAGAAGTGAACCTTCCAGTAACCTAATCTTGAATAACAACACTATGAGCAGACACAGAGACAAGGTATTTTGTAGCCACATTTTATAGAAGCATATCCTCATCTCATACAATATTACATGACTCTAAGGGATCTTCCTGCTTCTGGCGTTTAGTAGTCAGTTTTTCATTCGCCTCCCTCATTCAAACACCTTCAACAAAATTCAAACCATGCCACAACGCTTTCGTCATCTCACTCGCCAACACACGAGTAACCGTCACCTCTACAGTATATTGTGGGACCGACAAATAAGGATTGGTTAGCATCTCCCTGACGACGTATATGCTCTCCCAAAGAGACTTTAGGTTGAAACATCATGTTGACTTATATTGAATCCCCTAATTATCAGAGGAAGAACAAATCAATAACTTCTTCCATTCCTTAAATTTTCTCTCCACCCTTACCAAGTGGAGCTCCTTTATCGTCGAGAACATTGTAAAGCCCCTCCCTATCTACCTTAAATGAGAAAAATATTTAAAAAGGTCGATATTACATGAGATGCTCTCCCAAAGACGGAAAAGAATGAATGACATTATCGCAGCAATAGAGTTCGACATCACTTCCGTAGGAATAACCCCACATGTGTTAATGACACTCCGAAGCTCAGTGCACAGAGGCAACCAGAGGCCATATTTGAACTGGTATTGGTATTAAACTAGATCCTTACCGAGAAGTTCCATCATCTATGTCAACCCCAACAACTTCTGAAGGGTGATGTTTTCCTGCATAACATACCTCAT